AACCTTGAAACCTTTGGCCTCACCAAAGCCTTATTTTCTATTACTTCTTATCATGGCCAATGTATAAGTGACTATATATGAAAATTGTGATGATTCTTGCTTTCTTTAGAATTCCTTCCACCACTTTCATCTTGCTAGTTGCCTCAAGCCTAAGGTTAATGCAACGAGCCATGCATGCTGTCCAGAAAATGCATGGTCTCTTCGTACTCAACATCTTAGCAGCTGCCATGTTGGTCTGTACCGTGTCAGTAACTCCGTGGACCACGTGTGCTTGCCCCCACTCAACACACTGATTTATAACTCAAAAATTGACCTGGCATCATGAATCTAACCTGATGCATCAATGGACCTCATAAATATTTTCCCCATATGCCAATTCACCATTAAATTCATCATACTCCTATTCCTCCATTGGTCCATGTCCCAGTAATGATACTGACCATACTCTTCCCCCTGTGTCGTTGTTGATCTTAAGGTACTGATTTGTGGGCTCCACCTCGTCTCAATGAGGACTTGAGCTCATTAGTTAGAGGGGCCTTACACCCTGGCTCGAACCATCTCAATCTTCACAACATATCTTGGAAGCTCAATTGTGAAAGGCATGCCGATTTGATAAAACCAGCAGACTATATATCAAGGTATCAGTACTGTTTCTTCCTTTTTAGACGAGCTCCAGTAGAAGTCTGCCCATTTCTCAAACCTGAACCTTGGGATGGGGATGGGGGGAGTAAGAATCAATAGGTCTTCTTCCTGGAAGCCTCCCATGCCCAAACCCCGTCCTTCATGCTAGAGCCCCCTTCCCCAGCCACGGAAACATCATCACAGCTTCTTCTTCTAATCCCCTTGTATCTACAGATCTTATTACATCATCGTGTTTTCTCTTCGCAACTTCTTTTTCTTTCGACCCACATGTAAATGCTCAAACATATCTTCCCTAACATTGGCAAGCACCTATATACATGGGCCTACATCCTCTCTATTGCTAACCAAATGTTTTTTAACTGATTTATGTTGGAATTAATTTCCTTTTTTACAATAATTACATACCACCTTATTGTTATCATTCGGATTTGGTCAAAATCTATTTTTCCGTTCCGGGTTGACTTGTTTGTTAAAGCTAGATGAAGACATGGTGCCAACTTAATAAATTACCCCTCAAACCTGAAAAATGGACAAAACAACCAAAAGTAATTTTCTATAAGTGTAGGGGGCTGTCACTTGGTGTGACGGTAAAAGACTCAGGTAGCCAGCGCAAGAGCGCAGGTTCAAGTCCTGAGAACGGCCACTTTGTGCATAAGCCAAAGGTTAGGACCGTTTCCAGTCCACCTCTCCTAGGACCCTGCTTAGGTGGGACCAGCATCGGGTTACGGCCCTTATACTATAAGTGTAGGATGCAAGTTATTCAGATTCAAGTATTATTAATAATTATAACCCAGGCTAGAAAAACTTCTAATTTCTTACATAACGAAAGCTAGATAAATTTTGAGACAAAAACCCGAATACCCAAATGCTGAAAAAAGACACTATACACAAACAATTTAACCGATATCAAGACGTATTTGTTTGTTTGAAAAAATCCACTATGGATACAACAACTCAAGCATTTACTGTTTAATTATTCGCAAAATTCAAGTATGTAATGTGAGTCATGTCTCGAAACAATTAACTAACAAATCATATTAAGTCCCTAGAATGTAGTTTAAGATGTAACAAAATCAAACTACTGTATGAAACAATAAAGTAACTCGTCAAATTCATCCCTCAAGTGTGTAGTTAGTGGTTACAAATGTAAATGCAACAAATCCAAATAACGTCTCAAAGCAATAAAGTAATTTAAAAATATTTAATAATTTACAAATAGGAGAGCAATTACTCAAATGTATAACAAAGTTACCAACGAAGTAGAAAAATTTCCTACAATGCTTGAGCTTATTGATAATATTGAGATCGGGTTACCAAATCTTAATAAAATGTCAATAATCTCAAACTAGAACCAATATAACTAAACTGAAATTTACAAACTCAAACTAGAACCCAAACAGACCCGATCAAACTAAAAAAGAAATGAAAACTATCGAAAATCGAAAAGAACAATCAAAAGCTAAAATTCCGAAACCTTAAACCAAGAAATGAAATATGCTATCATTTTAAACACAATAAAACTTGGCACATATTGGTGACCTTTGGTGGCTGAAAGTCTTCTTTTGCAACCACTTCAGCTCTGAAAAATTATACGAACATTTACTCTTTGATATGACAAGAAATCAAAAAGTTGGAAAAATTTCTCCATCTCTAAAAAGAATTTAAAAATTTCATTTTTCAGGTTGTGAAATTTTCCAGAACAAACCTAGAAGGGATTTTTTTTTTTTTTTTACTTATTGGGGGGGAGAAGGACGTTTTTTCCATCAGCCAAGGGTGTATTTCACCCCGGTCAAGGGCAATTTGAGGGCTGTATAGGTTCCACACTAGGGGGTCACCTACGTTGGGTCCAGGCGCTATGTGGGCTCGCAGAGACATGCTGCCTACAGTCTCACCTAGTTCCCATTGGGGCTGCCAGCATGCCTAGGAGGTTTGGCAGCCAAATTTGTTTTCTCATTGCTTGCAAGGGGGTCTGATGGTGCTTGCAAGGGGGTTTGATGGTGCACAACAAGTAGCAACGAGTATCTTCTTTTGGAGCAACAGATTCCTCCTAATTTTCGCCCATATTTGGAGAATGAAAACCCTAGGAGGGCTTCCAAGAAGAACAAGAAGAGCAAGAAATAGTTTGGATATTTCTTTTTAGTTTTTTTTGGCTACTTCAGATGTTTTTATTTATTTATTTCATTGCTGGAACAGTTAGGCACTTTTTAGATATTTTTATTAAAGTTAGGGAGTTTGGTTTCAAGTTATAAATAAGTTATGACCTTTTGGTCAAAAGTTGATTGGATGGACAAATAGTCCAAAACAATAATTTCCAATGTAAATAATGGCATGGATGGGCTGGAGAGTGTATTCTTCTTTAATAAAAAAAAGACTTTGTCTTGTAAAAGAAGCCCAAGGCTTGAGCCATAGGTGGGAGAAAGCCTTAGGGTTTCTCTAAAATTGCATGTGTTTGGCTTATTTCGTACAAATTTTATTATTCCCTCAATTTTCCCTGCATCAGGTTCTAAAAGGACAACATACACTGTATGGAATATTGAGAATTTCTTTTTTTTTAAATTAGTAAAATACTGGATATTGTTAGCTGATGGAGTTATATTCCTACCAAAGACAGAGACTTCCGTTTCCACTGTGAAAATCTAATTATAGCAACTGAATTCTGGGTGGCCGTAAATCAAGGGGCTCACACATGCATACAGGCAATGAGCTAGGAAGAAACTAAGTTTTTCATTCTGGATGAGTTGCAATGCTTCTAGTAATGTTGGTTGAACTAGCACTTGCATCATGAGACCTTTTTATTTTCTGCGCTGGCACCAGCTAGTGATTTGAAATGAAGAACATTAAGTTTTTCTCTTTGGTTCATAGCCTATCATCAACAAAAGGAAGATGCATGCTCCATCATATGGCCCTGCATCATCACAAACCAGAAGGAAGACAGGAACTCATCCTCGCCCCCAATAGAGTGCAAGAAAAAGAACCTTAGATGAACCATTGACCAAAGATATAAAAAGAGACAAAAAAGTCTCAGTCATCATCTGCTCGGGATCCTATTTAACAGAAGCACGCTTTTATGGGTGCAGAGGTGGTATTTGAACCTAGGACATGGTGCTGCTAATGTCAACAACTTGACTATAACACAATGGTGCCGTGATTCCCAGTTGGAGCACCTTAGAATGCTAAAAGCATAACTTGATTTGGCGACTGATTTGGTGATTTTCTGGATTCCTTGGGTTGCATGTGCTTTGAGGAATTGGTAGGGATGAGCTAGTGTGATAACATTTCTGCATATTATTCGGTTGCAAGAGGCTTGTTCTGTGCCATTTACCCACTTCCTATAACAATTAAATGCCTCCATACTCATGCTATGGGATCCTACATCTAACATTTTTAAGTAAAATTTTGGTTCTTCACATTTTAAGGCCTATTGCATGGTGTATACTTTCTTGAGTTGGACTTGATTTTGTTTGTTGTTGCCTTCTACATGTGCTCTTCGAAAGTAAATTGAAGGCTTGACAGAACATGAAAGAAAACAGCAAAAACAAGAGTAAATAAAATTATAGAGATTCTGGACGTGATCCATTACAAATTAAAACTGTGTATCTCTAAGAGGAAAATAATGTCCAAAGCTAATTCACATGAAACGTATACAATCAATACTGAGAAGTTGTATGCCAATTGCAGTTTGAGATATTTTCCTTCCCTTACTATGATTTGGAGTTCTTTTACTCTCTATATGGAAGATATTGTAGATTTTGGGCACTGGACAAGGATGTTAGTAAAAAATCACGGGCATTTCATATTGCTGTGATGCTTTGGTTATTTTAAAAAGGAGTGAGAGGATATTGAATTTTGGAATCATATAAAGCGAAATTGATGATAATGACCACCAATTTTGAGGAATCTGCGTCTGGCAATTCTTTACACTGAAACATGAGGGCTTTGCTTCTGCACCCGATGTTAAGCAATGACTCATCTTTTGTTTGTTGACAATATCCTTGTGTAGTTGAGCAACTTGCTGGCAATGTTTTTAAAAAAATGCAGTTTTGTACGAGTTACACTTGAGATGGATGTTTGAAAATTAAGAAGTGTTATGAATTTTAACAAATGGAATTGACTGGAATTGTTTTCTAGCAAGGGGAGTCAGCAAAGGAAAGATGATTCATTGATTTAAACGATAGATGCAATTCCTTTCGAAAAAACTGCCTGCAGTTTGAGGAATGCTGTTTATGTGATTGGGCAACTTGCAGGCAAGTTTTTTAAAAACACCTTAGTTTATGTATGAGTCAAGTTTGATATGGATGTTTGAAAACTGAAAAATAATTTGAATTTTATTTTTGGTGATTCTTGTATCTTTGTTGCAGGGCTTACCGTGCATTTTATGTTTTGCACTGGATTTACCGCTATTTCACTGAGAAGTACTATGGTCGATGGATATGTAAGTACTCTTTTGTTACTGTTATTTTGATGCATCTAGAAGATATGATGTCACTTTCCCAGTATTTTTACTGCTAATCTTTTCAATAGTGGTATTCTTATATCTTGTTCTTCTTTTTCCAGCTTGGGTCTCGGGGCTTGTGCAGACAGCTCTATACGCTGATTTTTTCTATTATTACTTCATCAGGTAAAAATCCACATAACTAACATAATTGTGACTCATGACTCAGAAAAATATGACTTGGCTGATCAGAGAAAAAAAAGAAGATTGACAAGATATGACGTACTATCAGAATCACACTGGTTTTTAAAGAAAATGTGAAACTAGATATAGTGTCAACAATTCACAAAAGTTCACAAATCACAAAAGTTCACAAATACATTTGTATCAACATGCAACTCTCTCTCTCTCTCTCTCTCTCTCTCTCTGTTCTCCCATGTACACACGTGGTAAAGTGGGTATTAAACTGCTTCTTACAATCTTTTCAGCTGGAAGAACAATGCGAAGCTTCAGCTACCAGCCTGATCTTACCACGATAGTAAAACTTTAGTAAATATCACTCCCCAATTCTTGGGCCTTTTGTCACATGCCCAAAGAAAAAGTTGCTGGATTTATGAGGCAGCAGCTTGGGTGAATGATTTATATGCTTTTTGTGATATAATCTGCCACAAGCTTGGTTTTTGTAATTGTATAATTTTGAGCCATAGAAGGACAACAAGAAAACGTGGTATTGCAGAGCCATGCCATTCATTCGAATTTCATCAAAGGTAGGATCAATCTCTTATCGAAGGTATGATCAATCTCTGATAAGGAGGAAGCTTTGTGCTTTTTAAATCAATTATACGTGGTTCGGAGGGTATTGTGGTTGTCTGAGAAATTCTAACTCCACCGTTGTGTTTTAGAAAAGTGGGGTATATATTGATTTTCTCCATATCAGGGGGTTTGTTTTTGTATGGAATGGTGAGGTTTTTGGTTCTATTTTTAGCCATCTAATGCCACACTTCTGGCAAATTTCTTACTTTAATTCTCTTTTCTGTTATTTTTTTATGGATCGGAGTTTGTTAGTGATGCTTTTAGTTTTGGTTCTCCCAAGTATAATGCCTTTTTTTCTTTCTTAAATGACTTAAGTTACGCTTTGTTCATTGTTCCTCAGTGTTTGTTTGGAAATCCAGCGATTCAGATCGAAATCGTCTGATCCAGATCAAGAATTGTCTTAACCGTTTTAAATCCTGTAATATATTTAGATCTGGCTGTCTCCTTTTGAACTGGCGCATCCAGATCGGTCCGTACCGGTTCTTTGAAAGAATTGGCAGGCAACAGTTTAATTAATCTTTTAATATATTTGTGATTTTTTATTTACAATTTTTTATTTAAATTTTTATTTGTAAGTGCATTTTTTAAGATTTGTAAAATTTTTAAAAAATGAAAATGAAGGCCGTGGCCTACCCCATACTATTGTCAAAATTTACAAGTGCTTAATGAGGCCGTTTATGAAAGCTATCTTTTTGTGTCTTCGATGTGGGATAAATAGGTTCTCAACTAACCGTAGTTGTATAACGAACCATTGTGCTCCCGACTCCCAACCTTGGCGTGCTCTCTTGACTAACCTCTCTCTTCTATCTATAAAGTTTGGTCTATTAATAATTTTATTAAAATTAATTGTATTAAAATTGTACAAACAAAAAATTCTACTAAAATTTTTGCTACTAACTTCTTCCAATAAATTTGTTATGTATAGTTTCTTTAAAAAAACCAAAAATTTTAAGTTAATACAATAATAAAATAAATAAATTGAGTGAGAAAGATTCCTTTTATTGTAATTTTGTATTTTGAATTTTATTTCATTTTAATTATAAAATGAATATAATAAATTAACAAATATTCAACATGAGATGGGTTTTAAGTATATACATATTTTTGACACAATAATGAAAAATCATAATGCAATGGCCACAATTTCTTTTAGAAACCTAAAAATTTGAGAAATTATGGTGTTTTTTTTTTAAAAAAGTTTTACGTTGAAACCGGCTGATTTTTCGATTTGGATTGTTGATTTACCGATTTGACACAGTTTTTGGGGTGACCAATTTAGGTCATCCATTTTTTTAAACTTTGGTTCTTATTAGGTAGGACTTGTGCAATGCGAGATTTTTCATGCAGGAGATTTCTCGTCTTTATTGGGTGCCTCTTGAATTACGGAAGCACACTGGAAACTTACTTCCCTAGTTAGAAGACTAACTTGAAAAGATTTTTTCATTGAAAAGTATTTAAAACCCATTAGATGATTATAGGGAAAATTACAAAACAACTCTCAAAATTACATATTTTATGCAACTTAACCCCAACCTTATTTTTTTTTTCACTTTTATTTTCAAAATACACTTTCTATGCAAATACACCCAACCAAATAAAACATAAAAAATACTTAAACTATCCTCATTTACTATTTACCTTACCTACGCCTCTCTCTCCTCTATCCCACCAAAATAGGGGTTCTGGTACCACCAAAATAGGGGCTCCGGTACTGTGTGAGTGTGGTCTAGTAGTAAGGCTCCGGTACTGTGTTAGGGCAGTCCGCCACTTGTGTGCTCCCACAATTTCAATCTGGTAGTTGTGTTAGGGTGGTCCGGCACTTGTGCGCTCCCACGAGCTCGATTTGGTAGTTGTGTTTGGGTGGTTTGACACTTGTGCGCTCCGACAATGTGATGTGCGCACACGGTAATGTGCCATTGGGGGTTTAAAAGTCAACGTCAAATATGACCAAAATGATTTTTGTGTACGGGAAAGGCATTTCCTTCTAAAAAAAATTGAACTTTTTCTTTTGGAGGGTATTTATATAGAAAGTTTATTTTGGGAAAAAACGTTAGATTGGGGGTAAGTTGCATAGAAAGTGTGGTCTCGAGGGTTTTTTGTAAATTTCTCATGATTATATTCAAAAAAAAGTTTGAATTTTTGAGTTTTCTAACGATTAGATTTCACCCTTTAAAAACTTAATGGCTTTTGTTCAATTGTGAGGCATTATTTATTCATGTCCAAAAGGGTTTACAATTTGAAAAAAAAAATTATTGAGTACAGGATACAGGTTGAATAATTTGGGCCCCTAATAATACTCTTAGAATGGGTTTTGCCCGAGGGAGGCTATTTACTAATACTGTTAGATTGGGTTTTGAAAGAAATGGATTTTTAGCACCACAATTGCCGCCTATCTACTGCGTTTCTTATGTCACATGTTAGACGACAATATGTTTCTTTGGGCGATCCATTGAGTAGATTTACTATTTCTTTGAAGCTCCAAATTGGATCAAATTGAAGTCCGGTTCTAAGGATGTCTAAAATTTGAAAAAGTATATATTAATACTATTTATTGGGACAATATCCTTTTATTTCCTATTTTTAACTTCTATATCTTATGATATCCAAAAATTTGAAATATTACTGGTAAGCAAAAGATCTTCATCTGTTCTATCTTACAATCCCCTAAACCAATTTGACCATGTCTTATTGACTTCAACAACTAATGAAATGACTCTCTTCCTTCAAAATCTAACATCTTAACCTATATCCTCTCTCTCTAAACTCATCTCTCCCTCTCTCTCTAAGCTCTGTCTCTCTCTTACTCCTCTCTCTCTAAACCCCGATAACCGGGGGGAGGAGGAATCAAGCAATTGTAGCGCCTCTCTTGAGGAGGGAGAGAGAAGTTTAAAGATCACTTTCACTCCCATGAATTCCTGAAATCTCTATTACTTGCCACTGCCAATCCCACAAATCTTAAACATCGAAGAGAGAGAAGTTTAGAAAACCCAGTAAAAGGCCGACTATTGAAAAAGACAACTAGAGAGAGAAAGTGAGAAGTTAAAATAAAAGCTTAGGGAAATAAGCCAAGGAATGGGGAACAAAACAATGCTAGAGAGAGAAACTGTGTAAAATTTTGATTATCAGATTTGGTAAAAAAACCTGGAGAAAGAAAATGAAGCAAAAACTTGACAAAACCAGGAAAATGTTAGGAAAGGTAGAGAGAGAAAGGAAGAAACACTAAGCTTTCCCTTGAACCAGAGGAGGCACCAGCTTCTCTCTCCTGCCCTTGTCTTATGTATGAAAAAAAACAAATAAAGTCCTAATTTGCAGGTGAGATTCTTTCACTCTCTCTCCCTCTATCTCCTCTCCCCCTCTATCCATCTCCACGCCTCTCTCTTCCATCCATCTCCTCCCTTCTTTCTCTCTCCGACCATTTTTCTGAAATTGAGGACTTCTTCAAGATCATTTATCTTGGGATGAGACTGGACTCTCAAAATAGGATCAACTTTGATAGATAGAAATTAATGAAGTTTCTTAGGATGAGGGATTTGTGGTCTGTGGAAAAAATAATGAAGGATTGGAGCTGTAAATGAGTGGATATATGGCAAAATTTCTAATTTGTTGATGTGAGAGAGAGATGTTGGGTTTATGTGGCCTTTAAAGGCCTTCTGAGTATGTATTAAATTAATTTTATAGTGAACATAAACTCAGTGGGAATGTGGTCGGACCATACTAAGCAAATGATGTTTGCTTATACCGGACTGTGCTTATCGATCTAAGCCAGATGGTTGAAAAACCCAGAGTACCTGGGCATAAATAATTAACCGATGAGGGTTTTGGGTTAGCCCTTGATGAGGTCGGAGCTTATGCCTAGATGAGTGAGTCAATGGACTGTGTGACCCTTGTGTGTGATGGTAGGCCTACTGAGACGGTGACCAAAACCTCATCCATGTTTCATCATACAGCATGCATATTGATAGATCGTTCGGGAAAGCTAGATATGCAACTTTGGATGAAGCGTATGCATGTGCGAGAGATACCCCTATGTGCCATAGAGCTGTGGTCGCATCAGGTTGTGGTGACCTTGACTCGTCTCTAGGGGAGGACCTGTAATCCACAGACTGAGATTGCGACCCCTTGATTCATCGACCTGACTTTGGTAACCCGCTAACGAGCCCCTGCTTGGACTGTGGGTCATGAGAAACACTGCGTCGGTTCAATAAAGTTATGTAGTGCACAGTTGAAGGTGGAGTACCCCGTTATTACATATTAGATTCCTAAAACCATATAGATTCTTTTCCCATCATATTAATTTAATTGTGTTCATTTTATTATTAAAATGATTTTAGTTTTATTATTTTGAATTTTTATGAATCTCTCAATATTTTATTTATGATTTTCTGACTTATAAAAATACAGTTGTTGTTCTTACAAAGTTATAAAAATTCAAATATTTATTTTAAATTGTTTTATTCAATTTTAAAAATAATATTTTTTTTATAAAATTCCATGGGGGCCCATAGTACACATGGGCCCACCATGTAGCATGTGGGTGGGGGCCAGCATGTGGCATGTGGGTGGGGGCCCACATGTGCCACAAAAGGGTGGCACGCCCCACCCTCTTTGGATTCTCTTATTTGCTTTTAAGATAAGGTTAGTTTGATTTGTGGTATGTAGTCAAATTTTGGAAGAGATATATTGACCATGGCTTTATCCATTTTATAGCAAGTTTGTTTTAAAGAGATATGATCAATTTGAATTGATATGGATCTTGTCTTATTTATATTTGGTAGTATTTATCTACTTGATATTATTTGATATATCCTTATGGAATATGTGACATAGATCGAGTTTATAGAATGCATGATATTTATTTTATTTAAATATATTGATGGGAAAATGGTTTAAGAAAAGGGGGATAATAGTTCAAGCACCTTCTATAATGTTGATGGTTCATCAATGGAATGGATGACTCAGATCTCTCACCCCACAAGTCACCTTGATCAGTGGTCTAGATTCAATCTCATGAAAGAGACAAACTATGGGAAACCCTAAGAAACCATAAGCTAAATATTCACTATAAATAGGAGTGCTTTCCCCTCAATCTCAACACTTCTCTCTCTCCTATAATCTCTCTCTCATGTCTCTCTCACCTCTC